ACGGCGCAAGAAGCGTGGCCAGCACGACACCTTCTGCATGCACAGGGACACCTCGTTGACCAGCACCGCCTCGAAGCGGTACCAATCACGTCACTCCTGCTACCAGAGCACCATCCGCAGGTGAGTCCACATGGGGTCCATATTTTCCAGAGCATTCACTAAAAACGCGGAAAACCTCTACAATGGACAGCTGTCGCCTGCAGGAGACGACGATAACCGCGCTGCCAAATGGCGGAAATCCGAATGGAGCCGGCATTGGAGCCCCCATTTCCGCCGTGGATTTGTCCATGACCGGGGGCCAATCCTCCGCCCATCATGAAGCACCGCCGGGTTACGGGTTTTTGCCACTCAACGAACTTGGCCAGCACACACGTTCGCACCCACCAAAATTCCAGGAATCACTGTTAAACTAAAAACCCAAACTGGATTTAAACGGAGTTTACAGGAAGCCATTGTACCCTAAGCACTCTACCAAAATCAAAAGTAATCTTAAACAAACGTTTTTACTTTCAACTTACACTCAAATTTAGTTTAAGGAAAATGTTGGCAAGTGCCCAGTTGATGTTGGTAAACACTCTGTCAATTTAAAAAGCACTTGAAAGCCAAGGTTTTCACTTTTAAAAACTTCTTTGATGTATAGTTAAATTTAATTGAAATGGAATTTACGAATACGACAAGATGAGTAGCATCATGGTTAAATGTTGCCTTATGTTTTCTCTAGCATACTTATCCAAGTAATTTAATCTTTTCCATATGCAGCATTACATAAGAAAAGAAAAATTTAAATACAATTTTGTTTTGACTCCACACTTACCCAATAAACCCAAAAATATTTGACTATTTCAAATTTATAAATAAAAACCCATCCATCAACTAGAAGTTAAAAATGATTTCTATAAAACTTTGACAACGAAACAAGGTCACAAACTTTCGTATAATGTAAATATAAACATACCAAAGAATTTTAATGTTTTTATGTGTGTCAAAGTCAAAGTCTTAGAGGTTAAGCTTATAAACTAAAGTATTGCTGTCGAATAACGGCTTTAAGCTAAACACATTTTACGTATAAATTATATAGAAAAAGGTTAAGAAAGCTAAAACATATTGTGTGCTCTAAAAAAGGTCTCCGTTTTATAGCTAATCACTGAAACTTTGTAAATACATTTTTATGTGCCAGCATATAGTTAAAAATAAATGTAAATTGTGCGTTAGAAACTTTGTTTTCATGTGTTGGTCGGTTGGTTGGTTGGCCGCCAAAAGTCACTGAACATCCCGGAAAACCTGAGTCATGGAAATTTATGGGAAATTAAATTGCAGAGACCATCAAGCTATGGCAGCTGGAAGACAACTTTAAGGAGCTCTAAACGAAAACTTTTTCAACCGCAACAACAACAACATAGCAGGCCGGTCGTGACCTGGGAATAGGGAAAGCGGATTGAAAAACCCCCTTCGGTTCATTTTACTCCGAATTTGGCTGTGCGTGGGACATTTTTGGGTAGATTAATTGGTTTGGCCGCAGGCCCAAAAGGTGAAATCGGAGTCACAACTTAATCTTATTCACTTCAAACAAATCGCTTTGCTCTTTTGTGCTGCCAAAGTCATGAAACAGTCGTTCGATTTGCCTGCAGTTTTAAAAACCCATTTGCTTTTGCGTGGGGAAACCCTTTGAAATATTTCAGGGTCCACAGTTGATCTGATATCGTGATATGATTTGGGTTTTTGTGTCGCTTTGCTTGGGTTTGGGCTTATCCTGGTGGCTTTTCAATTGTTGAATTTGTTCGCAGCTTTTGGTTCAGGGTTTATCTGAGTAATACATTTATTTGCTTAATTTGACTTAATTTGTAGATTAAGTAGGTCGGTTTCCTGTTCTGTTCTTCTTAATTGCTTAATTTATTTTATTTATTTAAGGGTGACAGGAATATGACCTGAGATTTAATGTGAATAATTTATTTTAAAATAAGAAACTTATAAAAAACGTTAATTTGTCACCACAAATCAAACTAGTCGAAGATTATCTTAAAAAGGGTTGTACCTAAGTTTTATTAAAGGACTAAACAAATGTAAACAAAGTTCACTTTGTATGGAGATTATAAACTGATTATTTTGTCGAGGATTTATCAAAGTAATACATTGTTTGGTAGGTTAGCTATTTGAGAAATGTTGTATACCTTCTTAATTGCTTAATTTTTAAGATGTGTGCTTTTTATGGTGTCAGACATATCTCCTTAAGTTTTAATTAATTTGATTATTGTAGAAAAGTTGACTTGCAATCACAAATCAAATAAGTCTAAGATAATCCTAAAAAGGGTTACAATTTAATAAACAGCTTTCAGGCCACATGATTTATTCTAGGATGTATTTCTAAGTACATCTCAACAAAGTTACACTTTCAATGTCTAGGCATTGACCCATTGATGGCTCATTAGCTGGGGCCTTAAATTCTTAAACCCATTAAAGCAGCTTGATGACGATTTTTGTCAAAATTGATGGGGCACTTATTTCTGCCTATAAAGCTACATTGGCTTTTCATCTCGTTTCCAGAATCAATTTCCGGCCATTTCGATGATGGTTTTGTGGGCGTAAGTGCCAATGAAATGTGCCATCACGTCAATCAGCTTAAATCGGACGCACATTTGCAATTATTTACAGTGAGCCTTTTCGGCGAGTCTGCGATTCGCCGGAGATTTTGGCAGATACAGAAATTAAATTAACTCATGAAAATGTCGAGCGCGTCGGGAGTGCGTTGATCTGGCAGCTACGTGCCGAGGATTTGCCTCCGGAATCCTTGCTTCGAAATCCTTGCCCCGGAATCCTGCCCTTTGCATGTACTGGCGACAGGCGTTATCTCTGGCCTGGCAACCCAAGCCCGCAAGACATCAGCCATTCGTCGTGTACTTTCCTATTTATTTTCCCATCTTTTCGCTGCTCATTTTTAATAAACCAGCTTCGGGTGCTCATTGCGGCATTTCAGCAACCACATCAAGTTGTCATCAAGCCAAGTCGAGTGCTTATCCCAGCTTTATTAACTGTCCAAAGTGTTTGTGCTGCTGCTGCTGCTGCCGCCACTGCTTCTGCGGCTAGTCCTTCTCCTCTCGGCATCTTGACTTTATTTTTCTCTGTAACTCTGTTTACCTTCAGGTTTCGGATTTCAGATTTCAAGCCATTGTTGCTCACTTCGTAAATGTTATTTTTAAATTTGCTCTGGCGGAAATTTAATTTCGGTTACGTTTGCATGGCAATTAATCTGTTTATTTGTGGCAAGGGATTTTGGTCTAATTAGCAGAATCTGATAAAAATTAGAGATAAGTGATGGTGTTGCCAGTCGCTAATTCAATAAAAAAAAAAAAAAAAAATAGAAACTTATCTATTCTTACATGAATTTAAACTGTTGGGTATGAACAATTTTTCAATAAAATGAGTATTAATTTAATAGAACGTTAGTATCAAAATAAAACTACAATTTTAAACTTCGGTATAAAGATGAAACTTAAAAGTAATTAATAATTTATTATTGAATTAATACTTATACTTTAATTTGTAGTTTGTTTTCAAGACACACTTGCTAAAACCAAACTTTCAGTTTTTTTTTGGGTGTATATAAAAGTAACCGGAATATTTTGTTTACTAGTTGTACTTGAGGTAATCAATTTTGTTTTAAAAATCTGCGAAAATTAGATTTAGATGATTCTAAATCAAATAAACTATTATATGCTTTTTTATAATTTGTTATTAATTAAAACACAAATTTGTATATGTATTTTTAAACTTTTTTAATTATTCTACACAAAATGACGAATGGTGAAAGTAAACTACTTGAGCCAGGCTGTTTTTAACGAAATTGATCGCAAGTGTAATAAAATCAAAAAAATTTTATTGCGAATAATCAAACAAAAAGAGCTTTCTAAGATAATAATAAGCAACTCATGACATTTTTAATGAACAAAACCATAACACGGAATCTCTATAATTCGAAGTGATTTAAGTGACGATTAATAATCAGTTATTGATAAACAATTAATTCGCGTCAAAGTCGTTTGCTTGATATTTCTGTTTATTAATCACTAGAAACAGGTGTAGCGACTGCTAGTTTACAATTTCTTAATAAATTTCTTGATGATACAAACATTTTATGTGCATTCAGCGGAACAGTGCTATCAGAAAACGTCTTATCAACACAGAAGTGTATAAAAATTCCACTCAATATTACATTTCAGGGTGGTTTTCCTTTGATAGCTGGTTGTAAATATATAAACTATTCATATCGCAACTTTGTCGACGAGTAATTTTGTTTTATTTTTAACAAAGGGTTACCGCAGGTTTGTGCGAAAATTTTCCAACAATAAACATTTTGAGCTGTGAATGTTAACCCGTTGAATATTTATGACAATCCAACATTGGCACATTATTTCCTAAAATTTGTTAAAAAACAAAAACTCTAGTTGATTTTTTGGAGCCATCATGTCAACCATTATGCATTTTTTTTTAAGACCCCAATCTACAAACCTGTATCTCGGCGAATATTGGGTTTTTCAAATATTTTTTTTGTATTCTTAAAATGTTTATAACAACCATATAAAAAATTATACATTTAAATTGTTTTTCGTTTATTTTTTTTATTACTTTAAAAAATGCTTTAAATTCAGGCTTCTAGACCCAACTAGAATTAAGCATCAAATATTCACAGACCTTTGCATATTTAAGAATCAAGATTTACATCATGATTTTACTTTTAAAGTGCACCAAACATAACCATTTTCAAGTATAGGTGCCAATCGATTGAAAATTGTATGGTGAACTACTCGAGGTATGACTTTTCAACATAAGTCCATCTATTTGGACTTTTGGCATATTACGAAATAAGACTCACATCAAAAATAATTACTATTTTGTAATGTTGAGGAGTAAACTTTTTAGCACCGGTATTTCACCAATTTTCTCAAAAGGTCCATTTCCGATTATGGCAGATTTTCCTTTGCTATAAGCAAAATACTGAGTTGGTGTTATTTTGTGTAGAATTATTTGATATTTATTTCAAACTTAAATTTAAAACATAAACTATTAGTATTACAGATTATTTTGGTCCCTGATCTACATCAGTTGTGGAAAGGGTGACATTCGCGTTTTCTATACTGCTGATTGCGTTATCATCTATCTGTGATTTCTGTTTGACGACTGGGGGATTTTTTGCCCTTGGCCGCATGAGAAGGTCAAGTTTACTGAACGGGGCTTCAATGAGCAGGTATGTTGAATAGGAAAACAGCAGGGTAAAACCGAAAGTCGACCAAAAGCTAAGCATCTAAAAAATATAGTAAAATAAATTTAAAACTTTTACTTTTTGAAGTATGCTAAAACCCACCGTTCTGTAAAACGAAAAGTAGGAATTTGTCCTGATACTTTTGGAGTTCATCTCTTGGATAAACATGTGCCACATGTAGACGGCGTAAGAAAGCCTAGACAGTGGTTGCCATAATGGCGATGAGAGGAAACTGTTGGCCAGTCCTCCGTATCCTTGCATGCAGGCGAAGACCACCCAACACAGGGCCATTGACCAGCCCAATCGAGTGAGGGTGTAGTAGAAGGAGTTCTCCAAGGTCGTCATGGCAGGAGCACCCTTTTGGGCCGACGGGTAGGGGGCATAGATCGAGGTGAAGATCACGGCCAGACAAAGGATCCAGCCCGCCCACACAGCCATCCAGTTCAGCTGGAACTTTTTGCCCTTGTTCAGGTGCAAAAAGTAGCCGAAGAGAAATCCAATCAGCCAAGGTGTGGCATGTGTGTGGGTGGCAAGGTACATGTGCTTCATGGCTTCGACAGACAAGTTCCTAAATGGAAAGGAGGTTTAAACAAATAACACCAGCACAAGTCATTTTCATCATACTGAAAGGTCATTGAGTAGTCATTCACCATCATGGTGGCAAAAAGGCAAGCGGAAAGCAGAAGTATAAGAACGAATATTCCTGCGGCGGCCTTCTTGCCCCATTTGTAAAGAGCGATCAGCAGGAGCGGAGAGATGAGGAAAAGCTGCATGTCCACCGACAGATACCAGGTATGAGCGAGGCACTATAATGATATAGAATTCATTAGCATTTTTCGCTTTGATTTTTAGGTATTTAAAAAATTAAAATATTAAAATTTCCTAAAATCTTTCATTTGACTATTTTCGGAATTGACTTTAATGTCTGAAACTTCAATTCTAATTTAAACCATATTTAACTTAATTAAAAGCAGATATTTTATAGAATTTTGTTCAAAAGAAATAGTGGAGCCCACTCACCTTTTGATTTGTATAGTTGTTTACAAAAAGCAATGTCCAGTACCAGCTGTCTTCACATACCGCTTTTTCACCAAAACCACTTCCAAAAAGTGGTCCGCCTGATATAATGGGCATGAGGGTCATATAGATAGGGATAGCCATTCCCAAAAGGGGCACTATGCGAATCAAGCGATGCAGATACATCATGGGTACGTTTAGTTTTCCTTTGGTTCTGTTTTGAATACACAAAAAATAATTATAAAATATTTAATAATTACTAAAGAGTCAGTCTAATTGTCTTACTTGTCCATTAAACGCAATGGAATTAAGGCCACCAATAAGCCGCCAAGCATGAGAAATGAGTCCACAGAGTAAAAGCCATTCTCGATTAAACTGCCATAAGCCGTGTTCTACGATATTGAAATTAAATTGTATATTTAACATACATTTTTGTAATATTCGGAACTATTAACTTACCGTTTTAATACTAAACATATTAATATTTGCCGAGGTCATATCCGCTGCGAATTGATGGCAATAGACCACCCACATGAGAGACAGGCAGCGAATTCCATTAAGACAGTCGATTACATTTGGATTTGAGTTGATTTCCACAACGCGAAAGAGAGCTCGAGAGTTAACCCTGGCCGAAAAAACCTTTACTATGGCAGGAAGCCTATCTGTGGGTTGTGGTTCAATAACATCTGTTTTATATCACATATAATGAGGTACTACTCACCCTGATTAGAGACTAAAAAATAGTCCCACAGCGTAAACAAAGCTACGAGGGAACCCAGCACCGATAAGGTTGTTCTGCAATCAGTAATGACTAGTTGTTGGCCATAAATTGATTAAAATGTCGTCACACTTACACCATAAAAATGGTGAGTCCATCCCAGGGTTTACTGTCGCTGGTCTGGCAACTGCTATCGCTGATTGTAATGCCAGTGGTAGGAAGTCCTGATTTGGGTGACAACTTGGCAAGTTTCCCCACAAAGCTCTTCATATGGACTGCCGAACAGGATGCAGGAATGCAGGTGGCACTCCTGGCTAATAGATTCACCGAGCGAAAGCAGTACTTTCCCTGAAGGGTTCGGTTCTGGCTGACTTCCCTTCTGACATTGAGGCACTCGTCAAAGTTTCCCAAGTCATAAAAGTTGCCTGTCAGTAGGCCCGATGGCTTGTCGCCCCAGGAATCCATCACTAAGATAACACCACTATTAAAAACTAACTCTCTTTTCAAAGTTTAAAGTTAACTTACTTTTTAGTGCCCACATTTGACCACGCTGAAGTCCCGCAGTTAATGCAGCCAAATCATCGAGACACAGTTGGTCCTCTTCAGTTGGCAATTCTGAGTCGATTGCTTCAAAATTGTTAAATGTAATATCCTGAAAGTCTTTAGTCAACTCAGCTACCAAGGACTTAAGGACATCTTCCTCCTGCGATTGTACAGCACTGATGAGCGCAAGCGCGCACAGAAAAAATACTCCGACTATATTAACCATTGTGGTTAAATTCGTATTGATGGTCAATCATCGAATTCCCAACCCTTTATATGCGAGTTACCTAGCGATAAGCACCGTCTACGAAAACAAAACTGGTCAATTCCATTGAACCGTCACGATAAGGTAATCATACAAATTCTCAGTATTCAATTTTTAATCATTTACTGTTAGACTAACTAAAACAAGTTAATTAGAATCTAAATCCAAAGTGGATCCCAAAGATAGCTATTTTTGGTACTAATGTACTTACTAACAGAAGATAATTATAATCTAATAATATTTAGTCGTATTATCCTTTATTTAATCAAGTACTTGTGCACTTTCTAACAAAAGTTATTCAAGTATTGCTGTACAAAACAAAAGTAATTTAGAAACTTAACAATATGTAGATCCCAAAATTATGTATGTATGTGTCTTTAATTTTTGGCTAAATTCTTTATTCATTTTAATTGATTGTTCAATTTATATATCTTGCAAGCTATCAAATTTTTATAGCTCTAAATACTTGGAAGATGTTTCTAAAAAGTATATGCCTTTAAAGAGCTCTAAACGTTTCGTGAAAATGTATCCTAATGCCATGAATTAATTTTATTGCTTTTCGGCCAGACTTTATTTAGCCAATTAAATAGCCATAACAGAGTGTCTTTAATTCAATAGCTCTTGGATAAATGGCCATTAATATTAATTTAAGTTAGACAAGCGCCAAGTGTCTTGACACTTCAAAACCACAAAAACAAATGCCAAAGTTGTAATGAGGAACACCGCCACGCGCGAATAAAAACACAAACCCAAAAGACAAACATATAGAAGATAGCAATGGCAATGGCAATGGCAATAACAATAATAATGGCAAGGCCTTATAAGACATATGGATGGGGTGTTTTTTTTGGGAGGGTGAAAGTTGGAAATGCGGAAACATTGGCATGGTAAATAAATAAAACGATTTCAGACGCTCAGAGACGCATATGTAAACACGAATCCTCAAGGTGCAAAGCACGGCAGCTTAACGGCATGTTCCTCGGGTGTGTGTGTGAAAAGCGGGGTTTTCCGGGGGAAAGCGGCTTAGAAAATGGATGGAGGGATCGGAGTGACGAAGGGTCCTGGCTAATCGTAAATTGCCCGGCATATAGTACTAATCTACACATGCACACTCGAATATGCCTACACATATTAGGGGCATAAAAATTGGCACTCAATAAGCATGAGGGCACTTTGGGCCCACTCACATTCGCTTTTTCCCACCTCCCCCCCTCCGAATTTTCCACCTCCGTGCACGTACATATGTTTATGCGTGGGCGTTTTGTCGCCAAGAGCTCGAATTTTCCTCGGCGACGCTGACGGCATAGTCTTTGTCTAGGTTATAGCCAAGTTCACCGCCCCCACACATCTGGCTATGCATTTTAAATGCCTAAATGGGATACAAATAATAATCATAAAAGAGGAATTGAATGGGTAAATATGTTGATTACCGTCTCTGGTGCTGTCATTGGCTGAGTTACTTAATATTTTAATCTGCTAACGACCAGCTTAAGACAAACTTAATCGGGACTCATAACGGCTTAAACGCATACTAAATTACCATTGATAGTTTATAGTAGAGTGACAACAAGTTTAATTAAAGTTTGGAACTCATAATATCTTTTTTCCTTAATTATCTAAATACAGAATAAAAAAGTATGCAATTTTGCAAACATAATTTAACAGAAAAAAATTTATAATAAGTTTATGTATTATTTTTAATTCAATGAAATATTATAAAAATTTAATTTTTCAATCTTGTCTGCAAAATCCATATTTACAAGAAATAATTATACATTTTAACAAACGGATTACTGCAGAATATTCATTCCAGAATATATTTTTAAATTGCAAAAGATCTAAGTGAAACTTCCTGATCCATATTTACTATTATTAGATTAACAGTATAACAATAAAGAACAAAAGAATATTTATTATTATACTCACAATTCAATTACAAATTTCGTCCTCTAAACCTAATCACATTTTAAATTCAGACCCCATCATTAATCAAGAATCAAAATGCTGTAATCAATATTGAAAATTCTAAGGTAAATGTGTACAATGATTTATCCTGAAGGATATGGTATAGGTTAAACCGCATTTATAAAGACTCCTTTTATATACTTTAGCAGATGCTTTAATGCTATCCAAAATAAATTTTACTATACCCAGTTTATGGCCCAGCAGCCAAACGAAATGGCAGACCGGAACTCACCTCCTGCTGATTTATATTAACTGGGAATTATACAAGCGTGCCAGGACCCCCTACATCCCATATACTATATCCCACATCCTCCTACATCATTCCCTAGTTCGTATATATCCTACCCCGCACTTGACCCCGGATGTGGGTCTATTTTAAGCATTAACATCTTTATGGCCAACGGTCAAGTGGCAGGCAATTCACAACCTCCTCGGGGACAGACTTTAAGCTCCTTTCGGGAGCAATCACAGTTGGCGGTTGGCCAAATGCCACAGGAGCCACCAACCATGCTCGGTTGCTCGCAACAAAAGCGTAATCCTAGAGCTCAAGCCCACTTCTGCAGCATACTACGAAGGGGAGTGATTTTTGCCAGCTAATTGCCGAGGGAGCAGGACAAACTTCAAAAATCCGACACCCTGCTAGCTTGAGCATCATTATTAGGCAACGAGTATATAAGGAAAGAGGAGGAGCACCTGGCATTTGGGTGACATCAAGCATACGCCTCGTGTGGCAGGGATGGAATTTAATTAACTTGAAACGAGAGCTGCCATCTGAGAACAGCGACAATTAGACAGGTATTGATTTGAGTTTCCCTGCCAGCCAAAATATTCAAATTAAGTGCACTCAAAAGTGTCAGCCAAATATGCGAGTATTGCGGCCAAGCCGCAGGGAATGTCATTATCGACACTTGAAAATTGACACTGAAATCGATGGCGGTATAAAAACAAACCAGTTTAGAGGACGTAAAGTAAACGAAATAGCCCACGCGTGCTTGAATTCGGCCAAAAAAAGACGACCCGCATCATGAGCTGGGCCACTCAACTCGGCCAAAGTCAACGTCAAGAGTCCTTTCGCCAACTGAGCAAATAGTAAAAAGGACATTCGCCCGAATTGTCACATTCGTACGCTTAACTGAATGGGACAGCCGCACAGATTAAACCGCCCAGATTTATGCATTTGTCAATAGACTGAACAAAGACGGGCACAGGAATTTCTATTAAGATGCCAAAAGCCACCGAGAATCCTTTCTTAAGTTCTCTTTGTTTTGAACGCGTTGGCTTGGCACATATTAAAGGTTCATAAATGTTTCTTAATCAATTTATATAATGTGTTTTCCTTTTAAAGGTTTCAACAACGAAAATTCGTTTAGATCTTTTTAATAAAACTCCTGGCTTGAATAAAGGTCAAATTCCGATTGTTAATTTTATAATTCACAAAGTCAATGAACAATTTTTGCTGTATATTTTAAATTCTTCCACATGAGCTTCAATAAAGATGTCAAAGGACACAAAAGTTATTGAACCTTTTTTGTTGCTTGTTCAAATTTCCTGCACTTCCAGTTGAAGTAAATTAAATAAATTTTATAAATATTATTAAATATATTCAAAACTTTTAAAATTTTATTAAAAAATCTTTCTTGTCTTTTTAAACGGCAACGAAAATTCTGTTTAAGCTTTTTGACAAGTCTCCGACTTGAAAAAAGGCCAAATTCCGATTATTCACTTTATTTTTAATTGTTACAAAGTCAATAAACCATTTTTGTTGTTTATTCAAAATTCTTGTAATTCCAGTTGAAAACATCGCAAAAGTGACCAAATCTGGCACTTGTCTAATTAATTTCCATTTGAATTTCAGTCATTCTATCTGGCCTATTTGCTGGTCAAACTGGACAATTTTTTTCGGCCCTAAGACCGAATGCCGTCTAAATGGCGAACTTTGAGTCCTGATAAAATAAATCTCTTTTTTCGTTTCGTTGACTTTATTGGTTTGTTGTTGCGTGGCATGGATTTTGAGGATTGAGGGGGCAGCGAGGATGAACCCTTTTCAATCAAATTAGCATAGTCAGTGGAGCAGTTCCATCATAGTGAGCAGATGATGAAAACTCTCGATGAGGTTAGGAAACGGGTTGGGCATAACAAGGAGAGCAACTTTTTATTATAAATAATTGTGGGCATATTTTTTTAAAAAGGAATGAATAAATAAACAAGTAATTTTATATAGTTACTTTAATAAATTTACTGATTATTTTGTATGCTTGTGTCTTGATACTTATTATTCTTATACTTATTTTCATCAAGTTTCCATTGGTTTTCCATCAAAATGTTTAATGTTTAAAAACATAATGAATGGATAAATAAAGAAATAATTTATATATATACACTTTTATTGAAACTGGCGTACTGAAAACCATTTAAAGCCTATTATTTTACAGCAACCAAGAAAAAAGGATGCTTTCTCAAGGCAAAAATATATATTTTTTGCGAGGACTCTGAATGTCAAAATAGCAGTGGCGTGGAACAGCAACAATTGCCCCATCTCAACTTCTTTGCCTCAGAATTGGCAGCTGTCCCGTCCCCACATTGTTGCCAAAATATAAAAGACAAACAGCAGAAATTGCGCTGACAACAAATTTGGCTAAATCATGGGTTGCTCATTTATCAGCGGGCAACAGTGGGTTAAGTGAGGATGGGCCTTGCTACTGCTGCTCTTTAGATGCATTGCTCAAAACTCTGGTATTGTGCTGGACCCCGCCAAAAGTTGGCAGGAACTCAGACAAACTTGTAAGCCAACATTCAAGACGCAATTGAACAAAGTTGAGCGAAAGGAGTTTTTGTTTTCGCTTCCGTTTTCGTTCGGTTGCATGCAAACTAAGGACAAATCGCCGACTGAATTGTGTCTTAAGTACGTGTCTCTGTGGGTAGCTTTCCAAATTCTCTCTATTCTTATGAGCTCTAAATCATTTTTCGGACATTCGAGTTATGGCATTTGAAGGGGTCACATGTGAGGCGGATGCATCACGTATTATCGACATGTTAACGAGGCATTGTAGTATGCACAACCCGGGTACAATAGTTTCATAGTCTGTGGTGTGTGCTTTTGAATAATAAAAAGGAATCAAAAATAGCTTTGATTTCAAACTACTTACTTCAGTTTAAAACCCAAAACGTGAAGAGCAGCTCCGTAACATACTTATAAAAACTAGCTTACAGATTTTCTGCCACTTTACACACAACTTAAGAGAATGCTTTGGGAAATAAACCACAAGAATATCCAATGCGTGTAGCTGCTGCTGCACTAAAATATCGTTTTTCCACTCGACTGCACCACTGCTGCGGTTTTCATATTTCTTTCTTCGAGAATAATACCAGAGTTCAAACAATAAATAAAACTAGAGGGGCAGTAAAGAGTTGCCAGAATATGGAGAGCAAATTCCCAGCCAAACAAGGTCAAAGACTTACATTTAAAAATCAGTCAAACGCAAAATAAAACAAATACAATTTGCAGTCACGAACAAAAAAAGATATAAGCAGCGGATATAACTGACATAATAATGACAGGAAAAAAGTATTATTCGCAATCGGAAAGTTATGGAATTGCGTGAAAATTGTGTTGTGTCAGTGGCAGCTGCCGGCATCTGCGAATAGATTAAAAAATATCAAAAGCAGTAGAAGTAGAGACAGAGCCAACAGACGGCACTTGCACTTGGCATATTGCTTACTTCTCGTGCGGCTACAGGTGGACAGCTGGAATTCCGGAAGATGCCAATCCATGTGCTGCATCCCATCCTCAGGCTATTGCGATTACATACTCGCTTAACTAGCTGCACAGTTGTCGCTGTCACCTCATATCACATCACATCATTTGCATATCTGCTGCAGTCGCCGAGTTGCGCTTACATCACCCATACGCAGCGTTGGCCCATGGATTCAATATCCTGCAGGCGCTTTCACACCCATCCCCTGGATTTCCATTCCTAGCCGCATGCCAATCTTTGCTGGGTCCTCTTTTAGTCCTTCCATTGGGAGGTGGGGGTGAAAGCCTTCCATCGTCAATCAAAGGATAGTTTACTGCCCTCTCTCTTCGCAGGGCTGTTTGGCTTTGTAATTTATTTGCCATGCTCGAGACTCGACTTTAAGTGGGTTAAACCACACGATTTAGGCCATGACATATGATAAGGGGAAATCGACCTAATTTGCTCGTCCCCACTTGGCCCAAATTAGGTTTGAAGTCTTCACTAGCTGGATATGTTAAGCTGTCTAAAAATATGGAAATTATTTAGAGTAAGAAGTTTATTTAATTTGCGTGTAATTATAATTTTTGATTTTGATTTCTTAGATCGGTTTTCTACAAATAAACTCCCAAGTTTTCTTAAGACTTAAAGATTATCTCTTTAGCATTTTTTATTTGCTTGAAAATAAAGAACTTAATTTAGGAGTTAGAAAATTATATAAATTTTAAATATCTATCTTTTAAATATTTATTTTATTTATAGGTTATATTTTTCTGCTTTCACATACCGTTTTATCGTTATTACTTAAGTCATATTCGATTTGAAACCAAAGTGCACGCTTTGCTTACAATAAAGCTTTTACTTCAGCGGCTGCTGAAAGTTCAGGTCTTTACTAAGTTTACAGATATTTCCAAGCTTTTAGTTAGTAGTGTAATGTTACTCTAGATGTCGCCAAAAAGGTAGTTTAGTATACATCATGTAAATGGAATTAAATTAATTTCTTAGGTAAAAATTAAATTTTACAAATGTTGTAAGTCTTAGAGCTAAATAATCAGAATAATATTGATATGATATGATTTTAAAACAAATTTTCCATAGCGAAAATTTTATGTCATGACTGTAATAACAATATTATTATTTTTAACAAGATTGCTTTTATCGAAATATTTTTATAGAAATGTAATTGGAAATGATTGCATATTTAAATTGGGATTATACAAATTCATTTTTATAAGCCTATGGTTTGTTTTCTCACATCCGTTAAAGCAACAATAGTATTTTATTTAAATAAATTTGTAATTTATTTAAATAAAAAACGTTTCGAAAGAGTTGCAATTTATCTAATTTTAAAATACTAATTTTTAGTTTCTATTTGAACAAATTCGCCTGTTGGTTTAACCAGAAATGAACTACTGATTCGCTGGCTGAAAACCCCGCTCCGTTGCTCGTTTCTTGGCCAAAAGCGTGGACGACAACAGCTGCAGACTCTCTTCCGGATCGACTCTCCGCACTTGTCTTGGCCAAAACGTGTTTCAGCCGTGTTTCTCTTGGCTGTTTAGCTGTTTGCTTAGCAGCCAGTCTTCAGTTGGATTCAAAGCGCGTCTCAGTTCGGTTGTTGCCGCCGGTCGCCGATCACCGATCAAAAATACTCCATTAAGCCAAGTGAATGTCTTGCAATTGAAAACCAAAACAATATCGTCCAGTGGGTGATATGTAAGTGAGTCGTGTGACTACCCCTCTCTTTCGCGACCCCATATACCCGTCTCTTTCGCGGCGGAGCAAGTGCGTCCACAGACAAGCGGTTTTCGATTTGAATTTCGGTCTTCAGTTATCGCTTTTCGGGATTTTCGTTGATTTTTTACATATGCAAAGCGCGTAGTTTGGCATTACCGTTGTCACGACGCGTCATAAAGTGTGACCACGCCCCCTCCTTCGACCTCCGGCCCCCACAAAAAAACCAATCGTTGATTACCCACGGAAAATTTCACTTTGAAAGCTAGTTTTTGCATACATACAACAATAAACGGAGGTCCCACTGTCCCTTGATTTCCAAAGCCCATCCACTACGAACTACCATTTAGCATTGAGATTCTCGAGCATGGAATTAACATAAAGTTTTACCCCCCGGCTGGCCTCCAATTAGAAACTGCCATAAGTGCATAAGAATTGTGCAGTGAGCAGTCCATTCAAAGACTTCATTAAGAATTATTAATTATTTAATTACCCTTACGCAAGCCAAGGTCGTTGGCCATTGGCTGATAAAATGCGATAGTTTCCAGAAGTTTTACCTCTCACCAACGGAAAACAAACTAATCAAACTAAAAAAATCGCATAAATAATTGCAAGAAAAAACCGTATATATGTACGATACAAACAAAAAAAAGCGAACCTCCAGCCAAAAGATATATTATATGCTTTCGTGTTTATATAGCAAAGACAGATTCAAGGTGAATGTTGCCATTATTTTTTTGACAGAGTGCTCCAAGCAACAAGTGAAAATTTATTGGGAGTTTTTTTTGTTCGCGTGCTGAACAAGTTGAACAAAAAGAAACGTGGCCGAAAATCAACGCGAAATTAATACCATTAAAGGGTACATAAATTTGAAAACCAATTTAAGGTGTTCAACAAATAAAAATTAAGTGACTAATTTGGAAAGGAAGATATAAATAACAGACGACTATACCGTCTTAGAGTGGAATCCCCAAAAGCTGGTTTGGATTTCTTCTTATAGAATCTTTGCTGCAATTAGCAATTTTAATCAGCTTATATATATATGTTATTATAATTTAAACATTTCTGAGAAGTTTTTAAACAATAACAAATGTTAAATGCAATCAGTGGATAATTTGAAAAAGAAAAGTACACTTTTTAAAAAATTGGAACATTTGATCTTTTTTTAGTAAATCATCTTTTACCTTTTATTAGATACAAATTTATACAAATTTCAGAACATATCAATGTCATTAACCATTTAGAGAACTTAGCCTACTCACACACAATTCTAGTTATCCATCATACGCAACGTTGGCGTTGTAGCCTTGAACTCTTCCATTAGGCAGAATCAACAGAAAGAGTCAGCAAAAAGAAAGAATTCACATTATTATTAATTATATTTTAACGGTATCTCAAAAACAACGCAAAATGTTTTGAATGCCTTACAGAAGAAACCCGTCTGACCCGTCGTACCAAAAACAATTTCTCGCTTTTGACTAAATTCGCCAGCAAAGCCATCAATAAAACGTATACAACAATACAGCAACAAAATGCAAATACTGGACAGCAAATAATTTAAAGATAATTTACAAAACGCCCGGGGTAAAAACAAAAGAAACACAACAAGTTTAATAAGAAACAAGTCAAATTGCAAATTACAAAGCCAACAATATTTCGGATAAGGTTTTTGCGAGGAGTAACGAAAATGTCTCGGTCGACGTCGACGTCGAAGTCGCTGCTTATCGGCCGCAGCTTCTTTTTCTTCGTCACCATCTGCGGCTGCTGCTTTGCACAAGGTGAGTGAGTTTTACATATGATTTTTTTTTGATGATGGTTTACGCGGGCCCCAAGACAAAAACTTAATTTAAGTCATATTCTCCGATGTTTGTCGGTCTTGCCAAGAAAACCCCAAAAAGTCTGTCTGATTCACTGCATGCTAATTTATCTCGATGGATCCGTGAGATCGGTGTCTTTTACAAGCCGGAACTCTCTGAAGGTCTCTCACCGAACTTAAAAAGAACGACGACAGCAGTAAATGCGTGTTCAAAATTAAAAACTCAAAATTAAAGACAACTGCTTGGTGAATTGTCACGAAAAAAGGAACGGATGCTCAGTAATAAAGCCCGAAAAAAAACAAAAATACGTCTAAGACTTCCGGAGAGTTAGCAGATGACAGCCGTGATAAAACAAACAATTTCCAGTTCGAAAAGTGTCTAACAAATAACTACTCGATCAACTGGCAGGCACAAATTTGGTTGCACCTGCAGTTGATTTTTAATGCCCTGGGGACTTCCAGTATTTGACTGGCAAATGTCGACGGTTTTGGCCTTTTTCGACAAGCTTTTTATGGCTGCACAAAGAAAAAAAATTTAAGGAGAGACAAATCGTATGTAATGTTACAAATAAATACACGAACTTATTTTATTACCACCAAATGTATTAAGTATCAACAAAATTTGATGTATCAATTTTACCTTTAAATAACCAGTTTAAAAAACTGTTTTTTATTTTTGGTGCTACTGCAATATCATGACTTTGTTTCTCCCTCAAGTGTGTTAAAATGTCAGGAAATGTCAATAAAACTTCGGTCGCCTCAAAGGCCTGTTTGTAAATATGGGGTTAACTGTCCGAAAGTTAAAGGGAAAGAGTTCTTGGCACAGATTTGCGTTTACCTTAAGTGATTTTGAGGTAAAATCAGTGTCATTGAACTTGCCGCAGTGTCAAGTCAACTTGGCATAATATTTACACAATTACCACGAATCTCCGACTCTGAATTAATCAGCAACAAAGCCGAACAAAAAAGTAACAAAAGGCTGGAAAAAACAAACAAACAAATTAAAACTAAATCTATTGCATAAGACATCAATACACAACCTTTCTTTTCTACTGGTGCCCATTGGAGGAGCAATCCGAGACGGAATCTTTTTTCGGGGCCTTATAAAAAGCAGCAAAAACCGAGAGACAAAAGCAGCGTTAATAAAATTAACTTGCTAATGAAGCGATGATCACACCGCATCGTTTCTATGGACTACATATATACTCGTACACGTATATATTGACTTAAATCATTTCATAGCTGAAATCAAGAAATACAACTTATGGAAATCCGACTAGCAGCATTTTTGTATGCAGAAACATTTTTGTCGCGCGTGTTTGGGCCAAAAGCAAGCAGCAGCAGAATGGGAAAACAAGTTTCCAGTTTCTTGGCGTTCCACTATGCAAATTAAACACTAAATACTGAAGAAATACACATGTCTGCCATGTCGTTTGGATATTTTGTAATATAGCGATAGCGATGAAAACGAAAGTGAAGCCGCCGAATGACTTTGAACGAAAGCCCCAGAAGAAAGACCCTTCCATCTGCCCTTGTTGTCGCCGGTGGTTTCACTTTTATTCCGCCATGTACCGAGTTGTTAACTCTATCGAATTAAAATAAATTCGCCGACACTGCGCTGCCGTTGTGCCGAAAGAAAGTGAAAGAAATGTACGAGTTTTGTACATGTGCACATGGCAAAGTTGCGGCACAAGTTTTGCGCTCGAAATCATAACAGTAATGGCAACAGGTTGGCTGACTTTTACAGTCCCACTTCTAATATCTCGAACTTGCCCAATTTTCTTGTAAATGCAACACAATTTTTAAACGGGTTTTAAACCTTTTACGACATTTAAACAAGAATCTTTACTAAAAACGAAATTAACAGAAAAAAATGCAATTAAAAAATATATTTAATAAATTATGAATTTTATAGATCCACCTTCTTCATTTGATGTAAGACTTTATGTAGTAAAACGTACACGATTTTCAACATTTTTAATGACCTTTGAACAGGTTTCACTAACTATTAATAGAGCATTTATCAATGTCCCACTTCTCTAACTGCAAAAAATTAAAAAAAAAATATTTTATAAATTAAAGAATTTGTAAACTACTTATTGTCCTGTGCAAACTTGATGATGCCAATTGTCTTAAAATGGGAGATATATGCTATTAAAAGATTTGATAACCTTTTTAAATTCTAAAAACTTCCGTTTTGATTAACGTAACCTAACCTGTTCCTTTTACGGAAGTGAGACTGTATTTCAAATCTGATTTTGAGTCTTGTCCGAAACTGCGCACTTTTTCGAATTGTCACAGAGCCGTTACTTTTTCCGACTGGACGAACGTGACGCATTTCTTCGGGCTTTATTCAATGAATAAATCTCTTGGCCAGATGCTGACTCTGTGGAAATAATTGCTAGTTTACATACTCATGTAAATTGGCATTTTTCTGTGCGCCGTAATGATGGGAAACATGCCAATGACATTGTTGTCCAACTCGACTCGAACTTTATGACTTTATGGCAGTGGAAAGCGAATTTACATAGAAAATGTGCGATTTTTGTGGCCTGAAAAGAAAAGCGCAGATTTTGCCAATGGCCAATTAAAACACATTCGCATTTCCACAGAGCTCAACATTGTTTCCGCTCAGGTTAACTGTATTCGACTTCAAAACGAGTTTTTTTTTTTGAGTTTTGGCGCCTGGTAAACCAAATCAAAAAACAGGTGCAACGGCCGCCTGACCAGCGGCTTTTTATATAATGGTCAGATCCAAAAAGGAGCAATTTCTCAAATAGTTAATAGGCATTGCTAACATACTTTTGCCAGTCCGCTGGTTTTTGGATTTGCGACATTTTTGCTGAGATCAAGTTCCCCGAAAACCGAGGACCGTCAGCGTTTCCACTTAAGAATGCTGTCAAAGAAAAAAACATGGAACGTTAAAAAAAATGTTTAGCTTTTTGTTTCTAATAATTTTGTTAAATAAACAGTTTTCGATATTTTTGAAAATTCTATTAACCCGAATGCACAATCTCCGCATGAACATTTATACAACATTTTTAAATTTACCAACTCGAAAAAACGTGTCTTTGAGAAAAACGCGTTAAAAAAATGTAGTTCTAATTGAAGCGCAGTTGACATCACTCCAATAAACTGTCGATAACTTTCCTATTTCAACAGATTTCAATCCGAAATTTGAAGAAAATTAAAGAAAAGGTTTTTGTATCTCACAAGGCAGAAACCCCCCTAAAATAAGATAAACTTAATCTTTGATGTGGGTGATTATCTTCATAGAGATGATAATAAACTGAGATCATCAAGTTGGCTTTTGTTAGAGATGGTTTTTAGCCTTAACTAATCGATATTATTATTAAAAATTCCAAATAAAATATCGAAAGCATTTGCAATCTCTAGTTTTTCACCATTTCAAAAAAGTTGGCATCGCTCTTTCATTTCATTTTTTTCCTTTACTGATTTTCAATCGACAAGATGGGAAACGACGGCTTACAACCAATAATAGAAATAATTGTCGGGAAACGTTTCGAGCGTGGACGTCCTCAATACCTGGCCATATGGGCCGGCCATCCGGTGGTACAGAGCACTTGGATACCGTTGGAGTACTTAGGCCCTTACATTAGGTTGGTCGAGAATTTCGAGGCTGAGCTCCACAAGGCAGCAACAGCGAGAAACCGAAGGAACTAAGAGCAAACTTAGGACTTACCAAATATATACAAACAAAAAATAAGTTATTTTATTTTGTTAAAAAATATATTCTGTAAAAAGCCCACTGCTTGAGTTTTGTCATCTCTTTCTGCATGCCAAGTAAGTTGGCAGCACTAGTCTAATTTGTAAGATTATTTGGCTGCGTTAATCCAAGATCATGTCCAGTGGAAATCGCTTCAAGAAATCCAATGCCTATGGCTCCAGGGGCCACAGCAAGGATGACGAGGACTACATAGTGGAAAAATTTATCGGGAAACGCTTCCTGCGAGGACGTGCCCAATATTTAGCCAAATGGGAGGGCTATGCGGAGGAGGAGAGTACCTGGGAGCCCATGGAAAATTTAGGCAATTGTGCGACGCTGGTTGCCGATTATGAAGCGGAGCTTTTTAAGCGGAATATGGAGCAAAAACGTTTAAATAACTAAAAAGAATGCTTATTATGTACTTTGCGGGCAAATAAAAGATATGTAATTGTGTATTATCACCGAAAATAGGCTCTAAATTTGTAAGCAAAAAAATTGGGCTAAATACAGTAAGGCAGTCCTTACTTCAACAGTTGTCATCATTCCCATTAAAAAAAATATGAGTCTGCCAAAGTTCTTCAAAAAAATAAATTGCTAAACATGTAAACTTGTTGGAATCGTGATTTTCTAAAAATATATATTACAATAAAAAAGAAATGTTTGTTACTCATTTATGGTACGTTTTTTTTATAGTAATGGCTTCAGATAAAAATATTTTAAAAAAACTAAGCTTTGCCATCTCTAACTGAATTTCGAGAAAGTTGGCAGCGCCACCGCAGCTTGATTCTTTGTGGCATTCAGTTTTTCCCTCTTTTTTCGGCGTCTTTTCAACGAACAACATGTCTGGCGGAGGTCATCGATCCAATCATCTCCATTTGGTGTCCGATCCCGATCCTCCCCAAGAATTTGTAGTGGAGAAGATCGTGGGCAAGCGCTTCGTCGGTGGGCGTCCCCATGTCCTGGTAAAATGGGTTGGCTTTTCCGACAGGGACAACTCCTGGGAGCCATTGGAAAACGTTGGCAACTGCATGGGCCTTGTCTCGGATTTCGAAGCGGAGCTCTTCAGACGGCACAATGCGCAGGACATCCTGGTCGGCCTCGAAAAGGACTCGATATTAAGTCCCAGCACCAGTGCTTCCCGGACATCAACAAAAAACCCCAAACAAGTCAGGAATACGCAAAAGTCAAAGAAGGTTAAGGATTTACCGAAGAAAGGCAGGCCAGCAGTGGGCAAAGTGGCTGGTCCAAAACAAAGTATTAAGAATCTACCCAAAACTTATAAGGAGAGTCCCAGTCCGAGCTGTGCTAGCAATGTTTCTGGGGAAACTTTCAACCGCAAACCACCTGGTTCGCCCAAGCACATGGTAAAAAACCCCATTCAATTCGAGCATTCTAGAGTCCTCCGCTTAAGCGAATCCAGTGACGATGACACACCATTAGCAGTAGTATTACAGCACGAACGGGCACCCAAACAAGAAACCCCAGGTCGATTGGTGCCTGCTTTCCAGAAACTCGTTATGCCACCACCAAGTGCCAGTGTTCCACCGCAACAATCTAAAGATACAGAGCCACTTCAGAATGATATCATAGAATGCGATTCGGATACGTCCTCCAGCTCTTCGGAGACCTCAAGCACATCAAGTTCGAGCTCCTCCTCATCGTCTTCGTCCTCCGGAAGCGATGAAAATAACCAATCTCTGGACACAATAAGGGAGCAGGCTCGCAAGTGGGAAGCCGAAAAGCGTGTGGTCAAATTTGGCGGTTTAATGGATGACCAAATGGCCAAATCCCTTGGCCCACCGAAATTAATAACAGCCGACGACGATGATCCCATTGATTCAGAGCTACAGCGCGTAAGAAATTTACATTTCATTTAAGTAAATTAAACCAAATCTAATGGGTTCACTCAAAAAGTATATATGTGTCATCTTTTTAATCTATATTTAAAAAAAAAAACCAAATTCCATGATTTTCTTAAAAAAAATAGAAATTAAAAAGATTAAGACTATAATGATTAGAAGATTTAACCATAGTTTATTAGACTTACTGTATTAACCTAAATTAATTAATACAACCAATTTTATCTTTAATCAAGTTCTATTACATTTACATTTACGTACATTTTATTCAAAGAAAATTAAACAAAATCTATTGTGATAAAGAAAGAAAATTAAACCAAATCTATTGTGATAACTCAAAAAGTAGGGTCCATCTTCAATAATAATCAACACTTAATTATTTCACTTGTTTTTTTAAGCAAAAGCTTGGCAATTTTATAATTTAAGTATAGGATTAAACCTCATTTTAATTTTTTTTTTTGGAAGTATCTTATCCTTTATTAATTAAATAAACTAGTTTGATCTTTAACCAAGTAATAGAGTAATGAAGTGAGTGTTCCCTTAGCTTTGGTTGTATTTCCATTGTAAGAAATTATCAAAGAACAAATGGAACCTCCGCAGATACACGGCAATCTTGCCCAGCAGCCGAGCAACTGGAACTTCCCCGAGCCAGTGATGCAGCCGCCAGAAAAGTCAATAAAATCCAGCCAACCAATGATGCGCCGCAAGAGTCAGGCTGTGTGTAACAAGGAGGTGGCCAAACTGCAGCAGATAACCGATGCCCAGACACCCGGCTGCTCCAAGATCATCAAGACGGAGCCGCTAGGTTCGCCGGAGGAGCTGCAGGCTAGCGGCAAACGGCCCTCTGCCAGCGAAAGCCTCAAGTCCGAAAAGTATTTCGGGGACTGGAGAGTGCCGGAGCGCAAGGCACCCTTCGGATTGGCCCGTGGTCTGGAGCTGGAAAAAGTACACCACAGTTTTCAGGTGCACGACAAGTTCTTTCTGTTCGTCACCTGGAAGGGCTGCACTATTATGGATGCTGTACTCATAGAAGACATCAAGAATTTATACCCAATGCATTTGATCGAATACTTTGAGAGCCTGAAGATCGTCGGCGACGAAGTAGTTGCTCCCAACTAAGCCAAAAGATGTCTAGTACCTACCTGGTGAGTTGTGGCAGCAGGCAGCACAGCAGTTGATGTTTTGGCCCTGTGCCCGTAACCTTAAACGCAAGCTTCCGCTCCCGACCAGCAGCTTCAGTTTCTTCTTCATAACTTTACAGTTCGACGCTCGCAATATTCGAGCCATGAGCCATGAAAACTTCACGTTGCCTTCGGGTCAAGATAAATGCCATCGAAAAACAAAAACAGAAACGAAAACGAAGCATCATCCGGTCCGCGAATCACACTTTGTTGGATTCGTTTCCCTGTACAATGCACCTGTATATGCATTTTCCTCCCTTCTCTTCATCTTGGCTTAACCATTGATAACTCCAATGTTGGCCATATGACAAATTGCTTGCCTTTATCTTGGTTGCACTTAGAACAAGCTTTTTCGTAGATTTATGACTGTACCTTCAAAGATTTATGAGTGTTTCTTGGGGAGATGTCTTCATAGCATTAACAAGAGTCTATTATTGGCACACGTGTATCGCGACACGCACAATTATTGCCTTTTTCTCTTTCCGCAATTGTAGATTTCTGGCTCGAGATCGGCTAGCGAAAATTATGAGGCTCCAGACTCTTGGTTTTCGGTTTCCATTTGGCTTATCTGTCGCATCTGTTGACAGCTGCTTTGCTTTGAACTCGGCGGCCTGGCAACATACTCCCTCGCAAAAGTGGTGGGCGTTTAAGCGGCTCCATGGTTCATTCAACCCAAGCGGAGTTGCGGAATGAAGACAGCAACCCAATTCAAGATTCTGTTCAGTTGCAGTCTGCTGCCTTAATGGCGTATCTCATGGCTTTAACCTTCAATCAGACATAAGTACTTGCTTACTTGTACTATTGCGAGTATAGTACCCAACCCAAAGAAACTTAGGTGGTGACACGCACACCTGGAGCGGTGGACACACCTTTGTGGGGCACACGCTAACGCCACCAACTGCTGGACTCGCCGGCTAATGGACTAATGTGTCCATTTATTGCTGTCTTGCGCAATTTCAATGTCATTTGCAAGATGGCTGATTGCACTTTTTAGCCATTTTCATCGCAGATCATAATTTAGTTTTATGGATTAATAGTTGGATTCGCATGCACATATAAATCTGGTTTTATGGTTAGTTAAATTAGTTGTTAGGTGCCTGTAATTCGTTTTATTGTGGCTCAAATGGCTTACACCTAATTTAAATTTTTTTTATAATTAATTCAAAGTGTTAATTGCTAAGGTCAGGAGTGTAAGACAGGAACTATTAAAAAGCTGTAGATCTTTTCGGTAAAAATTAAATCCAAAACGCCTTCAGATTAAATAGACTGCATTGTTTGCCTGTTTAAAAAGAAACCCAATTATTCTCCGAGTCCTGTGAAATAGATTTTTTACTTAATTTTAAATTTAAATTCATTTCACATGATTAAATATATCTTTACCTCAAAGGCGTGTTTGCAATCTGCTGTTTGCTTCATTGCTCTATTATTATTTTCCATTATTGCTGTGCAATTTACTCATTTTTACCTTCCTGATTTCTGGGTTGCCTTCGACTTTGGCGTTCATTGATTTATGTGTGTTTGAATTAGCTGTCCATGGCATTTGCTATAATTTCTGTAGCTGGAACATGTTTTTCCACCCATTGTGGTCGTGCTGCATGTGCGATGGATTTCGAGGAGTGGTTGATCTAAGGCAAAATGGGAAAAGCGAAATGCATGGCATAAAAATTAATATTGGTCCGAAAAAAAGTTTCCATTCATTAATTGGCCTACCAAAAATATTCAAATTGCCTATCAAATGTCAAATCATCAAAAGCAATTTGAATTGCCATCGCTCAAATTTCCTGATTGTGTAATTCTTTGCTGTAACCATATTTCTTTATCAGACAAAATTTGCATTTAATTTCTGCCGCCACAACAACATATGTGATAATTTTCTCGCTCGTTTGACCATTTTTGGCTGAAGATGTAATTACGCCCAAGGCGGCAACCAGTAACCAGTAACAACAGCAACATGCAACCTCATTTATGACGCTTTGCATATGGTAAACAACAAATCAGAAAGAAACAAAATGTGTTTTCTATGTTGGTGGTGGTTGGTTGTTGTAATGCAATTTGTTTAACGCTTCGTTTATTACCAAAAACAGCAACGAACGCATTTCTTGGCTTGTTGTTGTGTTGTGTCGACTGTGTTGCCTGTATTAAAGTTGTTTTGTGGTTGACTGGGGCCAGCAGCAACATTTTGGCGGGTCGCGTAGGTTGAGGGGCAGCAAACAGATACAATAACTTAATATGCAGTCATATTCCCTCTATTTTCTCGACAGCATTTTCTCTGCAAGACTGTTTTGTTTTCTTTTGCCAAAGAAGAGTGGGTGCGTTTTCCACTATTTGGCTGGCTTATTTATGATTTTGTTTGACAGTTTAATAAACCTGTGTGTTGTCTGTTGGCACGAGTCACAATTTTCTGCCGCTGTTTGGCATCTCTTGTGTGTGCTTTGTTGTGCCTCTGGGTTAGGGGTTATTGGAACAGCAATTATATGTAGTTAAGGTGGCCCATTGCGGCTGCAGCAACAACAGCTGCCCGAGATGCGGTTGCTTAGATTGCCCAACAATAGTTAAACCAATGTGGCGCTATATCGGCTTACAAATGGGTTGGCTCCATTACAAGAGCTGATTGATTGTAGATGGATATTTATCATGTGGTTCCGATAATCCATGGTGGAGTGATACCAAAGTTATAATGGGCTTATAAATTAGGTAATTCCTTTATACCATTCTGTTACTTTCTACTTCTTTAGATAGCTTCATCTCTTGACGCGAATGACCTCCAAAACTGGCTCATTTTTTCAACCAAAGTGCATCCTCAGTTTCAACGACCTTGCTTTGTTTCTTTCAAGCTTTTATCGGTTTCTCTTTTATGTTGACCACGCCCCAAGAACCTGACCCAGCGGGCTGTCTTCGCTTGATGTTAATTTCACGCCCGTTAAAGTAATTAAATTTGCCTTTGTTTATTTTTTATGAGTGCTCTTATTTTTGTTTGTAGTGCAACATTCAAATTAGTTTATGTAGCAAAGTAAAACTGTGTTTTTAATACCATTTTCTCTTGTTGTTTATTTTTAGGTTTGTACAACTGTTTGACCAGAAGCCGGCATTCTCATCGTAAAACATAATCACATGCAAGTTCAGGGTCATGACATATTAACTGGAATGAACTCAAACGAGATTAGTAACTATATTTTGTTTTTTATATCTTATTTTTTCATCTAAACTACTTCATTATCTATGTTAAGCTTAGAAGCTAGAACTTAAGCTGAAAAGATTTATGTTTTCCATACATGTTAAAAAATGTACCTATCTATGGTATTAGTTTAACCGTAACACGATACTCAACCTAATGTCCAATGAAATCTTTGACATCTGATACTTTGTGATGTTTTTGCCTGTGATAAAGGAATTTAGTCGCGAAGGTCGAACCAGTTTTTGCCAGAGATCATTAACCAAATTTAAATTAAAACCAATATCTTGTTCTATGTTAACCACACCGAAGTGAACTTCCATTGAATTGGTTAAAGCGCTCGGCTTAAATGTCATTGGGTGGTTAACCAAAATCGAACTTTAGCCAGCCCGCAGCTAAAGTTGTTGACATTTTTACTTGACTTTTTGAATTATTTTCAGCATCGCCCCACAAACCTCTGCAATTATCTTGCATTGGTATTTCTTTTGTTGCTCTTTCGGGGTGTGTTCTGAGTGAAGGAGAGACTCCGACTCCATTGATAAAAATGAGTTTTGTATGTTAATTTGGCAATTGGCTTCACTGCATTCTTCAAATTGTGGTGGAATTGAGGTTGGATTGCGGTTCGAAAGTGGGCGCTTGTATGGTGGGTGGATTTGTGGGTATTCCAAAGTATTGAGTCACTTCATTCTTGGGATTAAACATTTCAAGGTGTGGGTTTGGAAACTTAACTGATTTTGGGGAATTAATGATCTATTCATAAAAGCTTAAATACAAAATCTTGATATTTAAGGGATTGCTATATAACGCCTGTGGGCCTTATTGCATTGGGCGTTGTTGCAATTTTTAAAGCTTATAGCGATCCTTAAAATATACATATTTTGAATTTATGCTTATCTAATTGCTAAATTCCTATACACACACCTTTCAATGTGTAATTAACGCCATTGGGCTTTATTGCACCAGTCGTTGTTGCATTCACCCTAATAAAAAAAACTGCTTTTATTATTATTTTGTAACAGTTTTTCAAGTCAGATGAAATATATAAATATAAATATATTTTTTAAATTTGATTCAAGAATGAAAAACATTTCCTATAATTATCTATCGAGTTTCCTCATCAGATTTTGCCTCTCATAAGCCGATTTTGATTGCTCTTATACTCTTTTCCTCGTATTGCTTGTAACACTGCACAATTTCTCATTAATCGCCGACTTCCAGAGCTTCGGCTTTGTTTAGTTTCGTTTTGTAGGTTGCTTTTGCTATTTTCGTATGGGCTAGCTACACCTACGATTTCCGCACTTGTACAAAAATGCGTCTACCCTTTTTTTTATTATTTGTGTTTGCCTTGCGCATATGCAGACAAAGCCAAATGTTTGAGCCGTGAGTCAGTGGCTAAGCAAAGCAAAGTAAGGCAAGACTTCAAGCCGCCCCTGTCGATATGCCACGCCCCATTGAAGTGCATTGAACGCATTTACTTCTCGCTGGCTCGTTTCGCACTCGATTTTCCATGCACATTTTCGCTTTTCCTTTTAATTGCGATTTCTGGCTCTGACTCTGGCTTTTCTTCGGCTCTATTTTCATCGCCTTTTTGCATTCGCTTCGTTTCGTTTCACTTTCACAGTGACTAACTTGTTGCAACTGTGCCAGTCGAGTCGGGGAGTAGGTTGTTTTTAGTTTTATGGCTTCCAAGCTGGCCAAGTTGGTTCGAGGTGGTGGTCACTTTGGTGGCAAAAAGCCACTCGAGCAGAACTCCCCGCAAATTTTGACAATTTGGCAGCCGGTCCGGTCGCTTCAATCACAAACAAAAGCTTAAATTATGAATTAATTTCGTGTTTTTGGCAAAAAGAAAGCGTTGACACGAAGCGGAAGTGTTCGCCAAAGGGGCGAAAGTCATCGCAAATTGAGTGATTAGCGCAGGGCAAGCGCTTTCAACGTATTATGCAATGCAAATAGGGGACCAAACAAATGATATCGGGTTTCCCACATATCACTCAATTAACCCAGTCTAATAACCAATCAAATGCCACTCTGACCCCGCATAATAGCACCGTGATTCATGCCGCCCAGTGACCCAAAAGTTGACTCAGACACCCGCGTACAAGATATAGATACATAGATACAGCCATGGCCACTTGAATGGGACAAGCACCCGCTGGGTTGCTGGTGATTTTCGGTGTAGTTTATATGTGGCACATGTCTGGCTAATGGTTTCTGGCCCAGTGACACAACAAGCGCCAATATTTTGAGCCAGCGTAATAAACCAAAGGCGGCGCAGTCTGGCAACAACAGAGACCGACCGACCAGGTGTGTGTGTCCATTCCATTCTGAATTTTGAACTTTGCGCCCTGCCCAGAAAGCGAAGCCAATGGAGTGTGGCTAAATGGGCCTAAATCCTTGACCCATTTGCTCGTTCTCTTAGCCGTCGTCTGGCATTTCCGTTTTGTGTTGTGTTGCAAAGTGCAAATTTAATCTCCGCTCGCCGGTCCGATCGCTTCAATTTGCAGTCATTAAACCCCTTTTGGCTCGCAAAATTATGTACCAAAAATGGCAAGAGAAAGAGAAATACCATTTGGTAGGCCATTTTCAAGGTGTATTTCTGCGGTTCGCCATTACGTTCGGTTGCGATTTTTGTCATTTTTCTGCTGTTAAATGAGCTTACGAGGGGGAAGTGAATGTAGGGTTAAGCTGCCCATTAACCCATTTTGGTTAAGGGAAATATTTGTTAAAGGCAGGAAATTGAAAAGGCGATTAACTTTTGTTTACCCATAAGTTATTAACTTTGGGCTATTTTTTTTGACTAATATTTATTATGTTAAATAATAAGAGGCTTCTCTCAATTTAAAAACACAATATACACTCTGTGTCCGCATAGACATTCACGTTTTAATGTGCCATTCACGGATGTTCCGCAAGGAAAACAAGTTTGTGTCTTAAGTCATTCGTTTCCTTTGTGGCCTTTTGTAACTGGAAATTATCGGCCAGCTACCGCGGCAACAGCAACAACAACAAACCTGTAATAAAAATATGCAGTTATCCTTGGGATTACGGTTCATCAGGCAGCCCTATAAATATAAATGTTTCTTCAGGGAATGAAGAAGAGTCGACTCTTTTTTTACCCGCAACTTTAGGTGCATGCTCAGTGGCAGCGACCTTTTAAGCAGGAAATGATGCCCAAAAGGAGTACCAACAAGAAAAGCTGGCAATTTGACTGCAACAGCAAACAAACCAAACACTCAGAAAAATAATTTTGAAAATTTAATGATTATTGCCTTGGAGTTGAGGCAACACTTACACTTAGCAGAAAATGTATTACAAAGATCCGGATTAAAAACATATTATTAGTTAGTAAGAAATATCAAGGAAAGGGTATTCCAGGGCATTTCTTTTGTACTTAACTAAAAAGTCCTGGAAAGATTGGTTATCAGTTATGAAACAAATGATTTGCATTACGAAAAACTTAAAGTTACATTTATTTTGTAAGCAAGAAAGTAATTTTTTTTCTGAGTGAAGAGCCGAAAGCAGAAGAAGCGGTCTCTTAACGAGCGGCATGCATAAAATATGCCCTTTGTGTAGAAGACATTGCTGATCGCCTGATTGCAGATCGTTCGTGGACTCTGCGTTTTTAATAAAAATGTCAAACCATGAGTGGCGGGAAAAGAAGGCAACGGCGGATAACAATGAATTGGCAATTTGCAAAGCTGCTGCTGCTGCTGCTCCTTCGCTAAGTAATCCCCCACATTAAGGCATCAGTTATTGGGAAGTATTTGGGATTCGGATTCGGGTTCGGATTTCTGCGCGTTGGCGTTGGCGGCAGACTCTTCAAAAGCCATTCAACTTCTTGATAACTCTTGATTGACGGTGGCTGGCAACCTGACGGACCCACCTCAAGTGCTATTTGCTTTAATAACACTCGAGAACTGCAGGGCTTTGTGGTTCATTGAACCCATCCCGTTCGATGGAAGCCAATCTTGGCCACTTATATAGCTCCAAAGCACTTGGGCACCCAGTGAGCTTTGAGGGTGTATAATAGATATGGCTTCTATGATATCTGGACACGCCCAATTTGAAGTGGCACCCGGGACCAAATGAAGCCTACAGTTCCAAATCGAAAAAGAATATGCAAATGCGAAGGCAGAACAAAAGCAAAGCGAAGCTCGGGAGAAGAAACCTTGTTGTTCACACAATAAATCACGACAACCAGAACAGCTACATATATGCCTTATACCTTATGCCATTGTAATTACAACAACAATAGACAGCTGGCCGACAAAACTAAGCCAAGATTGTTGTTGACCATTTTGTCGTTGAAGCGTGCGGCAAAATGCTGTGTTTTCATGTCTGGCTTTTGTTTGGCCATTCTTTTTATATTCGCCAAAGCAAAGAAAAGACAAACAAAATTATGCGGAAAATTACAATGCATAGAAATTTGTGCCGTTTGAGAGACAGATCTAATCGTGAATTATGTATTTCTGGGTGTAGGCTAAGGTTACACAATCATTTTGATATAGTGTGTGATTGGGGAGAGAGTTTATGGATGGCATTTTAGTTATGTCAGAGCTAGGAAATTACCTGAAATTGATTTTGTTATTGGTCAAAGCAAAAGGTCTACAATTTGTACCTTAATTATTTTATTATTAGTTACATTTCACATTACCCCTGACTTTCTGCTCTATTTGATCTTACACCGGAAAATGATTGACCCCTCGAAGGGTTTTTATAAATATTTAATAAAACAAAAGGTCTAAAATATTTAATTAATTAAATTATAATTATTTACACTTCAGTCAAGACCCCTGCCATTCTGCTCTACTTAATCTTACACCGGAAAATGTAGAATTTAAATGCAAACAATCCCTTTTACCACCAATGAATTCTATCTGCCACTTGCATTTTAATGGCCACAACTCACTTTATATTTTTCATTTGCGGGACATTGCACCACTTGGCAGTACCGCAAGTTTGAAGGCAGAAACAGAAAACAGACTCAGATGGAGCAGACCTCGAGATTCAGATAGGGAACGAGGAAAAACAGTTCTATTACTTAATATGCAACACTAATGCGAACAATGGCAGCACGACATCGTGGCAAAGGAAAAACCAAAGCCCCAAAACCAGAAACCCACAAAAACCGAAGGCCCAGACACACGATCCTCCGGTTACGACGGTTTGGTTTGGTCTCCAGACAT